TGAAATCATGTCGCTATATATCTTAAAGAAGGTTATGCTATTATGCAAGTACATAAATTCTTATTTGTATATTTTGATTTGTTCCAAGCTGTGTGGCTGGACATGGTTGTTGGAAAACACGGTAGAAATCAAGGGGGAAAAAAAATCCCCCTGTTCAACTTCTTCTAGAACCAACCCAATCCAATTATGTGTGCGCAGTTTGTTGGAGTTTTTTTCTTCTTTGGTTTAGGAGAACCTCTTTGTTGTGTTTGTTATATCATTTGTCCACCATATCTGAAGCTTGGCTTCGCCCTCTGAGGTGGCTGATAGTAGGGACGATCAACATGCACTATAGGGAGGAGCGCAAGAGGAAGCTCAACTCATTTGAGTTGAAGAAGTATAAGAGGTAGTAGTGAGACTTCTGTCGTCTCGATTTTTGTTTCATATCATGTCATTTTTGTGTCACTAAAACAGGTTTATCGAGCCGTGGATTATGTTTAGTGCATGTTAACCTTGTGAGTGTCATGGCGTTTGAAATAAAGTTCAACTTGTGTTTGAAATGAAGTTTAGATATTATATCTATGTAAAAGAGAACAATTTAACAAAAGAAGAACTCATTTGGGAGTTAACATTTTGGCATGACTAGACCTAATCCTCTCAGGACTAAGGAATTATTGAGTATTAAGTTTTGAGAATGGGTTTTAGGGAGTAAAATCTTAAAGATATATTGGAGTTGCTTTAAGGAGATGATCTACAACTCTCCTATGACCCAATTCTTTTTGCACAGGATTCTGTAGAACCAAGATTCTGGAAAATTATGAAAGAATCTGCTTCCCATAGAATCTGCCGTGGAGTTCTTTTCTGAGATTGTGCGTTGATATTGTGGATTGAGTTGTATGCTAAAATGTCTGTACTATCCTTAGACCAAAACCGTTTGATGAATTGTTAACACCTTGTTATTTCGAACCATATCCTTTTAGCACAAAAATGTTTTACGAATATCATAAAGTGCTAAATATTACAATTAGAATGGTCTAAATTTTGTTCATTACAGAAGTGGGTGAACTAAAAATAGAAAAAAAAAACAAGGTACGAGGCTGGCAGCAATAGCTTCACATGTTGCGGTCATGTTACCATCATCTTCCGGCGGTAGAGCGTTGGCACCTGTAAACAGCAATGGAGATTGCACATACACATCATTGTCAAATGTGTCAAAATGCACATCACATAACTTGTTATTGCGAATCCAATTGTGGAGACACGTGGATGCAATGACGATCATCTTTTGGGTCTTCGGTTTGTACCGAGGATGCCTCCAAGAATTCCCCATTTTCATCTTGAGAACACCAAATGCTCTTTCGATGAAATTTCGCGAAGAATGATGATGGTTGAATGTCTCATACCTCCCCACCTGAGGGGTTTTGTTGGAAAGCTGGTACATGATATCGTTGCCCTTTCTATGGTGCTAGATATCCAATTTGTTTGGATATTCAGAGTCCACAAGGTAATATTTATCATAGTAGGACATCGAAAGACAATAGAAATTTACAACATACCATCATGTATATAAACATGGATACATACAAGAGATTACCTGTGGTCGTGGAAAATGATGACGAACTACAGCATCGCTCCATGACAGCGGCGGTGCGACAACCTTAGTGCTCACTACGTGTGGGCGAGTTCTTCTGCTTGATGCGTGGGTTGGTCGACCGCGAGCGCCCGCTCGTTTTTTTGTACACGAGGTGTGAATGGGTCGACAACATTCTGACCGTAATTACGTGCTACAATAGGGGTATTTGTTTAATTCGAATTCCTTTGAGGGACTCTCCAAAATCTTGAGATTTCGAGAAAATCCTGTTTTCTTTAGATTTTGGATTGCACTGGGTTTTTAGAGAATCCTCTCAAAATTTGGGAAGCAAAATCAAGTTCTTGTCGCTCAATATTTTTCAAACCGAGATTTTGTATAATATGCTCAAAAGAATTGGTCCTATGTTAAGGTTATCAAAGATGCCCATAGCTCGCAAAAGACGATCAAGATGACCATTACTGTCTCAATGATTATGGCCTCGTCTGGAGCTCAATACTACTCCCCCTGTCTCATAATGTAAGACATTCTTTGACGCTACACTAGTGTCAAAAAACGTCTTACATTATGGGACGGAGGGAGTATGTGATAACTTTGATGTGCCACCCTTTGAGAATTTGTAATGTAATAAGTTTCATAATATATATCAATATAATAAGACTTAAAGGGGTGAATCCAATTAATCTCAGCCATCGAACCATGTCAATCTAACGATCTAGATTGCTTCGATGGTGAATGTTTATCCTATCTAATATCAACATGTATTTAATTTTTTTCATAATGCATTGCACGTACGCATTTACTAGTAAAGTTAAAAGTACCCGTAGCAAAACCTTTCTGCCAAATTTGTTGTAGATGTGGCACTCTCTTCACTATAGCATTTGTAGTTGTTTCTCGTGGCCATAGAGTTGTCTGGGCCCACGAACATAGCAGTAATTGTTGTGATGTTTATTACCTCAGCAGAACACGATTTTGGAGTTACTAGTAGTAGGTGACTAGCTAACCTCGCGCGGCGGCACGCCGCGCCGGTCGACAGTTTATATTGTACATACTGATTTATTTTGTTTATTCGCTTCATTTATCATACATTAATTAGAAAGCAATATTGGGTTGCAGCCATCGCACAAAGTAATTAAAGATAAAAAGTTTACATTCGTAATTGATTTACACATAGCATACGGTCATACAGTATTACAACATGGAGGAAATTAATTTATTACAACTGGACACTACCTGGTAAAAAGGAATTAAAATGACTGAAGGAAACTAAAACGACCGATACTTGTACGCAAGATGGCATAGGACTTTAAACGTGACTGCAGATAGCATTGGAGCCTGAAATCAAGTCATTCTGGAACACTCTCCCCGGGGGTTAGTGCCAATAATGAAATAATATAACACTTTTGCGAAGTGCTTGAGTCGTGTGATAGGCGGACAACTACCAGTATAGCTAATGATACGGTCTTCAGTGAATGGACGATGTGGGTGCATACAGAGGGGCACCGCATCTAAGAAATCGTTGCATATATGTGCTAGTGTCTCCGTTTGGGTTACAGTCTCGGCTTGGCGAGCAGCAACCTCACGTTTGGCCATATTGAACTGCCAATGCTTTGCACGTATCTTTTCTTGAGCTGATAGAAGCTTTTGATTTGTTGCCTGCAACATAGAATAATTATAGTCGTTGATTGTGATAGCATAGTTCTCACAAATGTAGTCCAGCACTGCTTGAGCAGCCCCTTCTTCCGCCTCGTCTTGTGTTGCTACGGATTCTCCTTCGAAAATCAAAGGATTTTCATTGATGCTCCCTGTGGAATATACTGCTCCCATGTGCACGGACACCTGTATGGTACCATCAAGGTACGTGAAATGAAGGTATCCTTGCACCTCCTGCCTTATGGCTGAGCCGACAATTTGGAGAATGACTCGCCTTGATATATACACCATCAAGTCGTCGTTCTGCAAATGGACAGAAGTTAGTAACTGCATTACTTTACATGAAGTTTTAATCTGAGTTCAAATCTTGGTACAAATGCATACCATGTTAACTGGGGTAGCATTGGAAGAAGAACTTGAAACAAACTTCTTTTCATTTTTCTTTGATTGTTTTCCTGATGGGAAGCTCTTGGCCGAGTGGTTGGTACTCATGGCTAAACTCTTTGCCTTTCGATACTTGAAGTGAATGAATGCCGTGAAACCCAGTATGGCTATATATATAGGTAGAAAGAGCGACGAGTCACCACATTACTAATATAAGCGCGGCAAGTGGCAGTTGTTGCATGAGTGAATACAAAACTACCCGTGAATACAAAAAATGGTCACAATCGAAAATAAAAATCACAATCCAATTAACCACGGCGATCGACGACAGACCACACAGATGCATACGCCATGCACGTAAACTGACGGATACACCACCGGATGCACCTATCAGCACCAGGCCCACGTACATGCGCCCATGCATGCAGGCGCGCGGGTACACAACGGGGTGCTCCCATCAACACCAGGCACACGTGCATGCGCCATGCATGCAAGGACACGGGTAACCAACAGGGTGCAACTAACAACATCAACCGCATGTCCGGGTCACCACATCAATAACGCAGACACACAAACCAACGTGCATGGCCCATGCAGCCAATCGCTGCTGTAGACCATACAGCTATCTCATCACAGTGCAAAATCGGCAACAACGGACCACAGTGCAGAACCGACAAACAAGGGACGAAATTAACAATTAATTAACCAAACCAGCGTACAGACATCCGAAAAAAGATATGAAAGAAACAGCAAAATACCAGGCCCTAGAGCAGAAAAACAACCAGTAGCAGGAACAGAATCACGTCCACACGACTCCGCGGCGCAAAAAGGGACATCTGCCAATGTAAAACAAACCACAGAAATAAGTGCACAAACAAATAGCAGCCACCAATATGAACCAAACTAAATGAACAAACCGAGAGTAGAATCGATGGGCCGCTTGCCCAGCCGGATCACCTCCCTACGCCGCCTAGCAAAAGCATCACCACCTAACTCAAACAACAAAACAAAACAGTTAGTTCACACAAACAGGCAAAAATACGAATGGACCGAAAGAGAAGAGCATTCAAACCAGACTGCGCTGCAAGATCCAGCAAATCAGGAGATCGCTCACAGAAATCACGCGAACGACGCACAGGACGACCAAACCGAGACGACGAGCGAATATGAGAAGATGAAACACCTCGCAAAACGATAGACCGATCGGTCAGAACAGCAGAAGCAACAACACGGACCGAACCACCTCGCCGACCAACTGTAGACCCCCCCGAGCGACAGGGCCGACCATGACGACGTGGACCATTATGACTCGATGAAGAAGAGACCATCGAATGGAGGCACGCACGAAACGCAACTGGAAACCACAGGTAGTACAGAAGGAAGCAAAGGAACCTATTTATAGCCTCCGAAAAGAGAGAGGAAAGCACAGAAAGGAATGGAAAAATCTCCGGGAAACACCAGAAAGATCGCACCGATCAGCGGAAATGGCAACATCGCGAAGGAACATCGACAGCGGCACCGCTAGAACAACATAGACAGAGTAACCGATGGACGTAAAGCAGCACTGGTCGCTGACAAAGACCGGCAGCACCGCATGAGAAAGCGACAGCTCGATCGAGAAACACATCACGACGACACGAATGGCAACAGCGGCCGAACAGCAGAAAGTGACGGCAAGCACACACAGACAAAAGCTAGACCAATCAGAATTGAAATTAAGGAAATTGCTCATACAAGAAGAGGAATCAGCAGATGACAAACCAATCACAGAGCAACAACCAGCCGGCACGAACAAAGTATGACCGCCAGCCGGGCGACGTGGTGAGGAGCTAGACCAGAAGAAAGAATTATGCATCCGTAAAGAGAGGGCCAAGAAAGCAGGCAAATTGAATGTGCTCACCGTCGACAGCAGCAACCCCGGCTTGACGGTGCAGTAGATATCTACCAGGGTGTCGCCGTGGCCCTCCTCCTTGCGCTCCACCTTGAACTGCAACGGCCAACCAACATTCCTCAGTTAGTCTCTTGCTTTCACCATTAATTTTTTCAAGCTACAACAACAATGGCCCGGCTCTCCTCTGGCGACAGTGGGTGGCTTAGATTGCTCACCTTGGGGGTGTTCCTGGACAGCATCTCGTTGGGTTCAGCTCTCAGAACACACTCAGCAGTCAGCACCGGTGCCGGCTGCGGATGGGAGTCCTCCATATCCTCCTGGAGATCATCTCCAGCAGCTCCTTCATGTAGTCGACCGTGTCCCTAGGATCGACGTTCTGTCTATCTAGATGCCCAAAATCAAGAACACACATTCAGATTTACTCCCAAGATTACACCCCTCTTTCTTCCAAGATCGACTGACGATTGATCTTTACCATGCTGGGCACGACGCAGTGGAGCATGGAGAGACGGTAGTTCAGGCGCTTGCGGCGGCGGCGCTCGGCCATCTGATTCTTAGAGGGCATGCCCTCCACCTCTTCTTCCTCTATGCCGGCTTAGTGGCCGCCGCCATCGCGCAAAGGCAGAACGTGGCGTCGTCCGCGGCCGCCAGCCCGGGCTCCACCTTGCAGGCGTCGAGGCGTCACACCTGTTCAAGCAGGAGTTTCCACAGCCGCGCGTCGACCCAGTGGCGCTGGCGATTTTTCTGCTCGCCGGCCGGCCGTGTATAGGTCGACCGAGGCGGGAAAAGAGCGGGCCGAGGCATGCGACGGCGGCCTCGTCGCCGCCAGCGAGGAGGGTGAGTGTGCCGTCGCTGGCGCGGACACTGCTGCTGGAGCCAACGGCGTGGCAGCCCAAAGAGCTCGTGCATTCCAGGAGGGCCTGGCTGGCAGTGGACTCCGGTGAGGAACGGGCGTGGGCATAGCCAAAATTTGAGAGATAGACGCAACGATGCAGGGGTGATCGTTGGAAGAGGATGAGCGCCGGGAAAGGCGAGCCTTTCTTATAGGCCAGTACGGCGGTCGAGAGGTCGGCAGCGGGACGGAAGTGAGGGCTTCCGGAAAAAAACCATATACGTCAAGAAGTGGACACATCACACATGCATCCACGTAGTCTCATCGCATGAAGATCACCTCCCACCGGGGCATGTTGCATGCTGCACATGCAAAAACCGAAAACAAAGCCACCGCTAGACAGAGTGCATGTTTGACCAGGAACCATCGATGAGAAAGCGGCAGCACATCAAAACAATCAACCGACAACGACACAAGAAGATAGCGATGGCCAACAGAAATGGAATGAATCACGTAACAGAGAGAACCACGCCAAACAGCCCCACATGCAGTCAACAGATGCTAGATGAACCAAAAGAACCATCACAGCAGTTCAAAAAATTTGAAACAAAACCCTGAATCCACAAAGCAGTTCTACACCACCAGGTACCAAATTAATAGCACGTGTCACATGCGGAATTCACCATACATCGTTTTCACACAAGTGGCTAAACCTCACGGCAAAAACTTGGCCTGGAATAGAGGCTTGGGTATGTTTGTGATTAGCATGCTGCCAAATTGACAGAACCTGGACGCCTCTCTGTTTCAGTTGAACTCCCCACATACTGGAGAAGCCTCTAAAGCCTCCTCAGCGTGGGACCAAACCAAACAAAACCGAATCAAGCCGATTATCTGCCGGATCGAATTTCCGAGGTGAGCATCCCCAAATCCATCTTATTCTTCACCCCCCTGGTTGCTCCCGTTACCCGCCGGTGTGTAGTTTCTGGTTCCGCATTCCTTTCTTTCTGCTCAGATTTCTTAGGTTTCTGATACAAGTTGGGTAGCTTCCTCCCCTTTCTACTTGGGATTCTTATCTGTATAATTTGATTTGTCCCAAGCACTGCGGCTGGATAGGATTCTTCGAAATACTGTAGAAATAATGAGGAAAATGCCCTGATCCGACCTTTTATAGAACCACCCCAATCCAATTACTCCCTCCGTAAACTAATATAAAAGCGTTTAGATCACTACCTTACAGTGGGAGTACATGTGTGCAGTTTGCTGGAGGTTTTTCTAAAAAAAGAAACTTGGGTTTAGGAGGAGAACCACACTTAGGTTGGAATCTAGATTGGTGGTAAGAAGATGAGACGCTTTCAGACCTTGAGCTGGGTTGGGAAAACGCTGATTTTATTTTGTACGAGTGAGTAACGTTTCTGTTATGTGAAGTGGCTGTTTTGGCAGTCTTTACTTCTCAAAACGATTACATTGTTGATGGTGGATGGAGAGTAAGACATGCTCTCTCGACTGATATTATCCTTTTGAGGCATTCTGATTTTGTGGCGTGGTTCTGACTGCGTGAGTAGCTTCACGTTCATGTCAGGGATTCCTGGTACATGATTTCTGTTCGTTCACTGTTTTTTCTCATGATTAGCCTGTTACCTCTTCCCTTGCTCTAATCATGAAATGCATAACAGCTCTGACAAGTGACAACAGGGATGGCAACCGGTAGCGAAGCTGGAAAGCCCGTGGAGGTCGTGCTGGAGTGGCCTAAGCAGGACAAAAAGAGGATGCTGCATGCTGTTTACCGTGTGGGAGATCTGGACCGCACCATTAAGTATGCTGGCTCTACTTCTGGTAGATGGTGATATTTGCAATTTCATTACTAGTATGTTTGTGCTGATGCGAGTGATTTAATTCTCATAGGTGTTACACGGAATGCTTTGGGATGAAGCTGTTGAGGAAAAGAGATGTTCCTGAAGAGAAGTACACCAATGCGTTTCTTGGGTTTGGACCTGAGAACACTAATTTTGCACTTGAGCTGACTTACAGTATGTTCATTGGTCTGCTCGCAATTGTTTCTAATGCAACTGGTTTGATGTCCTTGTTAATGTTTGGTCGACGTGTGTATCTGCCTCAGTGATAAGATAATACTGGCAAACTGATGGGGTCTTGTTCTTCTCTCTGCATATGAGCCGATAAATTCTTTCGTGGGTTAATAGTGTCATTCTTTTCCACCTCCTGTTGTGCTAACATGTCCGTTCTCGTTTGATAGATTATGGTGTTGACAAGTATGACATTGGACCGGGCTTTGGACATTTTGCCATCGCAAATGAGGATGTGTGTATTGCTTACCTGCAAATCTTACCCTTCATGTTACAGACCCTCGGGCTTATACGATGTCGTGGATGCAACGCAGGTGTACAAGCTGGCTGAGACAATTAAATCATCTTCTTGTTGTAAGATCACTCGTGAACCTGGTCCTGTCAAGGGAGGGTCCACTGTGATTGCCTTTGCACAAGACCCAGATGGTTACATGTTTGAGCTTATCCAGAGGGGTCCGACGCCTGAGCCTCTCTGTCAAGTTATGCTTCGTGATGGTGACCTTGATCGGTCTATCATGTTCTACGGGAAGGTATTGTTTTGTAAAAGGAGAGGTTGTTTGAAATGTTAGACACTATCCTTTCTGTATATTCTCTAGGACAACAGTTATATGTGTGATATTCTAACATTTGTCTTTTATGCAGGCCCTTGGATGAAGCTTCTGAGAAAGAAAGATGTGCCTCAGTACAAGGTACATCACATGCCAATTGTTGTTTTGATGCCATTTGTCCTTTGAATTTTGATGGACTGAGCATGCTTATGATTTGTGCAGTACACAATTGCCATGATGGGCTACGCCGAGGAGGATAAGACCACTGTTCTGGAGTTGACATACAATA